CTTGCAAGTCCAGTTAAGTTTTCTTGAATATAACAAATAAAACATCACAGTACTAGAGAAGCAGTTTGTTTGAGGAAGTACATGAAAGCGGTACCAACTAACTCCAGGGTGGGGCTGACTTCGAGTCAGGGCCCCCCGGGCGTCTTGCAGATTGCAACCTGTCCCAAAGGTCATGTACGGCAAATTATAACCCGCAGATAGCTATTTTCCAGAGCTGCAATAAATTCATTTGCGATAGCACCTCAGCGACAGCACGAAGCCTCAACAGGACACCTGAGTCGCTCGCACTAAACTGCTTTGTATTGCCATGTCACAAGCTGCTGGCGCGCCACTCCGAAATGCCTTTGAAGTTTTAATGAATCGTTGCCATGAGAAGCCTACAATCTCAAGACAGCACCCTCGGAGCAAATCGAAGCCGGCCTCGGTTAAGTCGCAGTCCTCACCCAGTTCGCTTGCGTCGTCAGTATTGGATTTAAAAACGTCTCATGACGTGAAGCAAACATTCGCTGCGCAATTGGACAAATCCTCCCCTGCTGTGAAACCAGTGACCAGCAGCCATCAGCAGGTTAACGAAAATATGGCACGAGCGCAGCCAATGACTGGCATAGGAAATGAGGCGCGTGAGAGAGGCCCTGACTTATCGTCCCACCCTGCGGAAGTGCCGTGCACTACGGGCCGGACCGCACCTGAGGGACCTCAGCAAAAACGGGCACGGCTGATGGCGCCCTTTCACCGCCCTTCAGCAAGGACGCCCTCTCGCCAAGTGGGTCCAGGGAATGTTACCGGTGCGGGTGCCAGGCCCGCCGTGCCTTTTCAGTCGGCGTCTACGGCGTTGTACCTAGGGGTCGACAGGCGCGCTCCAGAGGAGCCTGGGAAAAAGAAAACATGTAATCGGGTCACCTGTGCCGTGCGGCCGTGACAGCGGCCGCGACCACGCGGATAATGCCTCTCGAAACCACCCGGTACATAGCATCGTGGCGGCGTTTGCAACATGGTTTCCTGCGCTTCATGAAATCACCCCTCGGCTTCGCATGTGTGGACATTTCCTCCGTGGTATTTACTCCATGGTATTAAGTCCTTGCAAATTAGCACCGCGACCGCCTCCCCATACACCACCATCGCCACCACAACGCCACCATACACCTTTCGGTGCCCGCGCAAGTTGGCCGTCGGGCCGGGGCAGCGGCGGGTCGGTACCCAAGGCCGACGAGCACCTCTCCTGCTGCTTTCCCATGGCTCCGACCTCGTGCTCTTTCAATGCTCCGAAACTCCACCGCCCCGGTTACTGCAATCGCACATAATGACCCCGGCGCTTCCCAGCCTCGGCCTCCCTTTTCCGCATACAGCCGTTCGTTCCGGCCAGCTGCACAGTTCACCTGTAAAATGAAACCTACTGCCCCCATCCTTGTACGTGCCTGGCTGTGATGTGAAGGGGTCCACACACACTTTCCCCCTCCCGCCGTTCCCCCCTTCCCATTCCACCGTCCCCTGCCGGCCCCCATCACCTCCCCTGCCAGGTACACGACTTGTTCTTGGTGCTAGATCTGGAAGCCACCTGTACAAAGGTACACGAGACAAATGGTTGTAGCTCTGTCCAGGGGTTTCCAGTGGACATGGAGGACCGACCGTTGGGATCACTGCACGGTCCGAGTAGAGGCGCAAGGGGCAAGAGTGCACACCGTTTTGGGCACCGCCTTCCGGCTGCCGGACCCTCTGGCTGAGCTCCGTCATCCACCATTTGGGAACATGGCCACCATGTCTGAGCCATTATATTGTAATCTCGATTTTCGTCCCCCCTCTGGATCCCCGCTCCTGCATGTGCCATCCATCCGCACATATACGATTACGAAACTCACACATTGTAAATGCACCCCTCTCCCACCTTCACCTGCGCCATGTACTTGCCCGCCGTGCATCCCCCGCCGCGCAACTACGCCGCCAACGAAACAGTGTCGCAGCCTCTACCCCATCGAGATTATCGAGGTCAGCGCGCTGCTCCTGGACGCGCACAGTCTGGCCACACTGGGGGAGTTTCAGTCGCACGTAAGGCCCACGGAGCACCCCCTGCTGGATCCCTTCTGTGTGGAGCTGACGGGCATCGAGCAGGAGCAGGTCGGGGGGGAAACACACGGGGGGGGGTAACTGTGGAAAGAGGGAAGGGGTGAGGGTGGGGAGTTGCAGGATGCTGGTGAGGTGGGCGGGCGGGTGATTGGATTTGAATGGGTGACGTGGAGAATGCAATGGTACGTTTTTTCATGATGACGAGGACGCGTATGTGCGCGTGTGTGTTCATGCCATCTAATGTGACAAGTATTGCGTACGGCAGGTGGATACGGCACCTCTGCTGGGGGATGTGCTGCTCAGGTTCCAGCAGTGGCTGGAGGGGCTGGGGGCTTTTGGGGGGGCCAAGTCGCTACTGCCCGTCACGTGGACAGACTGGGACCTTAAGGTGAGAGCCGTCGTAATGTTACCATTACCCGGTACTAGCTTGACATGACTGTTAAGTCCACCTTCCCATTATCATATGCCACGTTACACACGACCCTGGGGCCCTCGGATCGCACTGGGCGGTTTGCAGGTAGGGGGTACGCAACCCCACGACCATGTAACACACGCGCGCGCGCGTGTGTGTGCGTGTGTGTATTTGTTACATGTTGATCTGGGCCTGACACTGGCCAGGAGCACCTATCCGTACACCAACGGGAACGACCCCCGAAGCACTCTCCTCCTTGTGGGGGGATAGTGGCATGAGAGAAAAAATGTGTGTGTGTGTGTGTCTCTGTCGTCGACCACCCAGCGTCCGCCACTGCCTCCCCACTTCACCGCGACCCTAGATATGTCTGGAGACGGAGTGCGGGTGGCGCCAGCTGCCGCGACCGCCGTACCTGCGCCGCTGGTGCAACCTGAAGCGAGTGTACGGCGCCCGCTACCGCCGCGCCAGTAGTCTGCAAAAGTGCGTCGAGGCGCTGGGTACGTGGGGAGCGTGGGGGGTGTTAATGCGAGATGGCGGTGGTGGGCGGGTCTCTAGTATGTATGTGCGTGCAACCCCCAGGTCTCCCCGGGGTGGCACGTGTGTTTTTCTTATGGCTTCCGGAGCCGCGATAAGGGAAGTGCTAATCGTGGTTTACGATTAACTTCATACCGAAGCGCGAGCTCCGAATAGTCACCAGCGACGTGTTAGGATTTTCCGATGTTAATTGAGCATAAAGCACCCCCTCTATTGAAATTCTAAGTAAGTGTTGGCTGGAGGAGTGATGCCTGCCAATGCCAGCAGTCGGAATGGGCGGCGATGTGAAACAAGAACATCAAGAGATGTCGGCAGAGCTGCAGCAGCAGCAGCAGCAGCAGCAGGAAGTAGCAGACTTTAGCAGTACCTAGCAAGGATAGCTGATCACGCGCCAAGGCACTGTGTATGGGCACTGTATGTTGTTACAGAGTGGTTAACTTCGCCAGCGGCCCCTTTCCCGGGCAGTCCCTGCTCTCCCCTGCTAGAGGGGCACCCTAATCCGTCACCCCATCCGACTTCAGAATGTATTCGTTGGGTTCGGCAACTCACCACCAGCATCCAACCAAATCCAGCGGATCAACGGCGCATCAACTTAGTTCCTGGTTAGCTCGCAAGATGATTTTATCACGTCCTACATCATCCATATGATGAGGGGCCACCACCCATTTCATCACTCCTCAAACACCCGAGGAGCCGGCAGGCGGATATGAACCCGGGTGGGCCGGGAGCAGAAGTCAGGCCTTAACCTCTGCCAGCCGCCTGCCTGTATGTATGTATGTGCGGCGTGAGGGCGCATACTTGCTAACCTGGCCTGTAATTGGTCAAGTGGTACAATCCGTCGTCCGGTACTCGTGTACTCGTGTGATTTCCTTTCCCGCGTATTGTGGCAGCGAGTGCAACCCACCACCACCACCACCACCCTGGGTGGCGACATGGTGGTGCTGCCGCCCCCGCTGCCCCCGCCGGCTGGCTCCTGGTGACGACACGTTTACTAAACCTGGCTACCACCGCCACCACCACCACCGGGGGCGGGGGGCCCGGGGGCGGGGGTGTGAATCCGGTTTGTCGCCTCGCAGGCCTTCGCTGGCAGGGCCGGGCTCATAACGGTTTGGACGACTCGCGCAACACGGCGATGTTGGCAGTCAGGATGGTGCGAGATGGCTGCGTGCTGACAGTCACGGACTCGTTCAAGGACACGGTGCCAAGCACGGACCAGCCGCTAGCCGCCACCGCCACCGCCACCGCCACCGCCACTGCCACTGCCACCGCCTCCACCACCACGTCGCCGGAAGCAAGAGCGCCGTGTACTGGGCTGTATCGGCCGGAGGAGGAGGAGGAGGAGGAGGATGCGCCTCCAGGAGACGGTCTGGCGGCGGTACGCAGCGGAGAGATGGAGCCGGGGACGCCCCTGTCCGCGGGAGTTGTAAGGAGTAGCAGCGGCGGCGGTGGCGGCAGCCGGGCGTTGCGACAGACAGTGCTGAAGCTCAGTACGGGTTCCGTGGCGCGGGCGGATGTACAGCTGTACGACAGCGCGGGCCGTTGGCTAGGCAAATGCAAGTGCGGCGTGGCGGCGCACTTTCGTACCACCAAGAAGCCGGGAGCCAATCTGGCCAGGTGGGGTTGGGGAGGGTGGGTGGGTGTTGTTCGCCTGCGGAGGGAAAAGGAGGGCCTGACAGTGCGTTTTGCCGCGAGCTGCGCGGCCGGCCGCAGGAGTGCGCACTCCCCCACCACCGTCAGCGTCAGCGTCCTCCGCTCTCGGCTATCACCCACCGGCCGACACCCTGCCACCCACGTCACCTTCCCTCTCCCTCCTCTTCTTCGGTCGTCCGTTTGGCGGCTTCGTCAGCTGCTTGAAATCCGTTGCTGGGCCACCTGTGCATGAGCCCACTCGCACCCCGCGGCCCCACAGGGCCCGATGTCGATCAGATCACACAGCGCCCTCCAAGAGCATTCACTCCTGCTCCCGTCCATTCCCTCCCCCTTTTTCCCTTTCCTCACCCCGCCAGCTCCAACCCTCCTACCATATTCTTCATCTTTCGTTTACAGACCTTCCTCTCCCCCCCCCTCGCCCGGCCCCACCGTGGCTAGGCAGTTCTACAGCTGCGGCCGGTGGTCCATTTCCGACCGTTCCAAGCAATGCAGCTTCTTCGCCTGGGCGGACCAGCTGCACATTGCGCCCGGGGTGGTGGCGGCAAGGACACCAACGACACCAGCGGCAGCTGCGGGCGGCGGGTCGGGGTTGGGCTCCGTGGCAGCGGCTCAGCCGCGCCGCCAAGGGGGGTCCAAGCGCGGGGCAACGGAGTCCCAGTAGGGTTGCAGCGTTCTAACTCCCATCGGCCGTAGGCGGGGCCACATAGCAACGCATCGCCATCTGACATACGTACAATCCGACTTGGGAAGCTGACGGACGAATCGGCGCATTCGCCCTTCAATTCCCCTGTTGTTATTTCCTGTCCGGGGGTGCTGCTGCTGTGCGGTACAACGATGAGTGGGCGGACCGTATGGGGGCGGGTTTGGAGGATTTGCTGCTACCGGTCTGCTGCGGAAGTTTCAAAAGTCTGACGTCCGGAGGACCTCCTTGATTGTGAATGTGTCTGTAGGGTTAGGAATCATTTGGATGCAAGGAACGCAGAAATTCACGTCCGGCGTTGTATGTGTATATATATATATATATATGTGTGTGTGTGTGTGAGAGGGGGGGCGTTTGGTTGGAGGAAGTTGCAGGGAAACACCACACCTCAGTGTATAGCTGCGCGCTCAGTGCATTCCTGTATGCACGTGTGTTTGGTGCCCGTGCCGCTGGAAGGTGGCATGAAAAGCCCGGCCCCACGCCCCACCCTCGCACATGAACACAACTCAGAGCGATTAGATTACATGACCGGGCCCACACCCACAATCAGAGGCTTCCTTCACTTCGAGCGGGAGGACGGGGAACCCTCTGTGGGGGTACACGCCAGCACACACCCTCACCGTACATGTCAAACACCTCCCGACACAGCGGCACGAACTGCCCAAAAGCACACCTCCGAGCCTGCCGCCAGGCGCCCATCAACCCCCATCACGGCGCGCCACACAGCTTTGCAAACAAGGCTCCCCGCATCACGAGCAGCTGATGGTCAGCCGGCCAGCACCCTCACCTCCCACCTCCACGTCGCCCGCCGATGGGAGGAGGCTCGTCGCGGCGCCGCGCCCCGCCGCCCCGCCGGTCCCCCAGTCCCTCCTCTCCCTCGCGACCAACACGCCGCGGCCCCGTCCGCTCACCATAACCACCTGCACCATCCCTGTACTCATCATCATTATCATCATCATCAGTATCCAGCCAACGGCTCTGTCGCTCCCTTCCCCGCTGCCCCTCGCCGATCGGGGCCTCGTACCGCCTCCCAATCGCCCGAGTACCCCCCCGGCCGCCAAACACACCGCCATCGTCGTACTCCTTCTCCTCCTCCCCCCCATCACCGCCCGCACCGCCCCCTCCCACTCGGCCCTGGCGGCCCCCACCCAGCAGCTTCCTACGGCCCCCGACACGACCAAAGCTTTCTGCCTCGCCCTCGTCGCCGTCCTCATCCAACCACCCCACGCGGGACCCGCTCCGGGTGGAGCTGCTACCTCCTCGACCACCGCCACCAGTACCGCCGGTGGGCGTGCCGCCGCCACGCCGCCGGCCAGTGTCCAGATGGGAGCCTTCCTCGTCATCAACGCGGCCGTCGTCACGGCGGCGACTGCGGCCACCGCGGCGCCGATGCTCCGCCCCCGACGCCTCCCACTCCTCAAAATCCAGGTCCCCCAGGTCATCATCTTTCTTGGCGCCGCCGCCGGCGGCGGCTGCGGCGGCCTGGCGACCGAACCGCGGGTCGTTACGGCCCCTGCCGCCCCGCCACCCTTCACCGCTGTCCGGGTCGTTGCCCAAACGGCCGCCGCGGCCACCGCCCCTCCTCCACCCTCCGGCTCCTTCCTCGTTGCCACTTTGGCGGTGTTGGTGGTTTTCAGGTGGGTAGAACTCCTTCATGGAGCGGCGGTAGGCCGGGGAGGATCGGGCCTGAGGGGCGGGTGGGCGGGTGCGGGAGGCAATCAGAGAGATCTCCGGTGCGGCCCCAGAGACACCTCCCGGTGTGCGGAACTGCGGAACTGTGCCGCTTCCAGAGTGTGTGTGTATGTATGATGTGTTGTGTGGGACAGGGGGGTCATATCTTCACCCTGCGGCCGCTACCCGGCAGACCCTCTGCCTCCCCCCGCGGGTATTTCGGGGCACCCTCATCCAGTCACCCAAGTCAACTTCTCAGTGGATCGCTCAGGTTCAGCACCCACCGCCGGCATTCAACGGAATCTGCTGGGTCGACGGCGGCTCAACTCCATTCCTGGTCAGCTCGCAAGTTAACTTTTATCCCAGATCACCACCGTCCATCGACTAGGGCCCCTTTACCTTCCACCATCGGAAAGATTTTCGACCCTGACAGGTCTCGATCCCGGAACCTCCGGCGGCATCGATGTGTGCTTTACCAACAATGCCGAACTTAGTATGGTGTGTGCGTGTGTGTGTGTGTGTGTGTGTGTGTGCTTTCACTGGACGGCCTCTCGCCCTTCCCCTCTCGCCCTTCCCCCGGAACTCACCTCCGCGGTGTACGGACCGCCCTCGTCATCGTCAACGTCCAACAACTGCTGGTTCTCATCATCCTCATCGCCGTCACCACCCTCTGCAGACCCAGCCCTCCGCCGCAGACCCGGGCGGCCCCGCGACGTCTCCGCCGCCCGCCGCCGTGCGCCGCCGCCGCCGCCGCCGGGGGGAAGAGGCCCTGCGGTGCGAGGAGGCGGCCCAGTGGGAGGTGGTGGTAGGGGGAGGAGGGGGAGGAGGGGGAGGAAGCGTAAAATGTCAAGAAAAAGGAGAAGGACAAGTCCGCGGGAGCAGGAAGGCAGGAAGTGCACTTCCTGGACAAAGTCTTGGTGGAGGAAGGAAAGAGTTTACCTGCATATGTGCAGTCGGAGCTGAAGGACGCATGTGCGCTGTTGTTGTTATTGTTGTTGTGGCCGTGTGCGCAGTCGCTGGCATGAAGAAGATTCGATGCCGACCGCAACCCCGCGCAGCCGCACACCAATCCTCCGCCTGGCACGTCTACATGGTACCCCGGGAGCCTCCGGACCTCCTCCCCCCACCCCGCCGGGGAGCGACCGCCAGCACACACTCACTGGCATACAGGCGCCGCCGCCGCTCCTCCTCGTCCTCCTCCTCCCCGCCATCGGGCGCGAGCTGCAGAGGCATCCTACGGCTCCTCGCAGCCCGCGCACCGCCGGAGCCGGAGCTGCCGGAGGCTGCCGCCGCCGCCGCCGCCGCCGCGCTCTTTGCTGCCGCAACAACGTCCGACGCCGCCGCGGCCGCTGCAGCCTGTGCATTGTAGAGCGCATCGGCGTCAGCGGCGGCTGTGGCGGCGCGCGGCCGCCGCCGTGGCGGTCTATCGCCGTACATCTCCGCAATTTCTTGAGGCGTCACGACGCTGTTTCCTGTCTTACTGGCGGGGGCCGCACACCTGGGGGTGCGGTGCGGTGGGGTGGGGGGCTCGGGATGAAATATCCCACACGACACAAGCACACAGGCCCCCTGGGTGAGGCCCCCTTTCCCTAGCCTGTGCACCCCCCTCCTTCCGCATCCTCCACACGCGAGCTCACGGACACAACGCCCCCTGCCCCACCCGACTCCGGAATCCCGTCGCGGGCCCCTGGCCCCCACCGTCCTGTAGCCCCCAACTCTCCTCAAACCCCCGAAACCCACCCCACCCTATGCAAACCCCCCCGGCCGGGTCGGGTTGGGCAGCTGGTATCCATTTTACTTTGCAGATGTAATAACATAACAGAAAATTGAAAATGAAAGTAGTAATTTTCCTCCTCCTGTTCCCCCCCCTGCCCCCCCCACCTGAAACACTTGGGTCGGTCTCTCCAGTTATCTGCACCGCACGTGGCACAGAACCAATCCCCCGCCTCCAGTACGACACCTCGCTTCACTGCTTCACGTAGCCGTATCCGGTGACTGCATGTGGACGTACATACATACATACATACATACACACACAGCAGGGAAGAGAGGTCTCGGGGTGCGTGAGGGGGCTCTAAGGGTCTCTCTTACGGGATTGCAATTCTGGATCCCGCTGAGCCCACTTCATCTCGCCCCCCCTTACCTTTCCCCCCCCCTTACCTTCCCCCCCCCCTACCCCCCCCCCACCCCCGCCTCACGCAAACCCACAC